CTGTCTGCTCTGTGGTACAGAGTCCTGATCACTCCTAACTTGTGTTCCAGTGGATGGTGGGAGTCAAAACGCAAATATTGGTCTGTGTGGGTGGGCTTTTTTTTATTACTGTCCAACTAATATAATAAATCTGAATTATTGGGTTTAGAATGATTTCCCCACATGATAAGTGATTATTTGCTCATCCGGTAGTAAAAACCTGATTACACTCACCTCTTCACTCCTCCACTTCTATTTACACTAAGAATATGAACAAAAAAAACTTGTTGTATTTGTATGTCAATTCTATTTTTGCTTGTTTACAACAGATAAATACATTTTCTCTCCCTGAACTACATTTTTTTCCCAGATACATTCAATATGTTTGTATATTCCCTGGTCTTTCCAAAATCCTCTGATTTTAAAGTGTTTCTGCAAACCTCTCCTCTCACTGAGAGGGATGTTTACAGCTAAATGTTTTAACCTTCAAATCCCCCCACTGTGTTCACACTGCATGGTGGAAAGATTTAGGACTGTCTATTTCAGATGTTTGGGTGTGTGTAAAATGTTAAATCGATCTTGAATCTGTGCAAAGTTTCATTGAATGTTGGACTTTCCATCAAGCTTCCTATCCTGAAGACACATTTGTAAACATATTTGACACGGGGCCCCTGTGTGAACGATGCTAAATTAACGTCTGGAGAAGGAACTCTTCGAGCCAAAGACAGCTGGAGCAGTTTGCTGAGGAGGAGGGGGTCCAAATACTCGTGGACAGGTGGCCTCAAAATGTTATATGACAAAACATTAGATTAAGTAGTTTATTATTCTGGTGAAAATTTTTTAAAAGGAATGTCTGATTTTTGTCTTTAAAAAAACTAGTTTCAACTTATTTCAGTTGGTCTGTAGGTCTGTTTCAGCTTCAATCAAAGTCAATTTCTAAAGCACATTTTATGCACAAGTTATAACCAAAGTGCTGCGCAATGATTAAAAATAGCTTAAAAAATTAAAAATAGAGTAGCTGAAATAAGCATAAACTGAAAGAGCATGTTTGCCAAATTAAGCAGTATGAAGCAGAAAAATGTTGAAATTGGCACAATACCAGAAAGCGTGAAAATAACTAAAAGCTAAAATAAGCAAAATAAAAGCCAAACGAAGCTTAAATTAGAAAAAAAAATTAAACAGAACCAGAACAAAAGTATATAAAGATTTAAGACTATTTTAAAGAATTTTAAGGAATGCTGAAAACAGCTGCTCTTCATTTGGGTAAAACATGACAAATTTGCTAAGATGCCAGAAGTCAGAATGTCCTGAAGGAGCTGAATGTTTTCAGAGTAATTATTGAAATATTGCAAAATTTGCAGAATGTGATGCATGGCAAAAAAAAAAAAAAAAAAA